GGGATTTGAGTCCCAAGCGACGATAACAACACACGCTAAAAACGCAAAGTCTCAGGGGTAGATGCTTATTTGTAAACAATGACACGCTATAGCCATCTGACGCATGCGCAGGTGACGACTCCTCCGCTTTAAATTTTGCCGATCATGTATTAAATGCTTGATATTTGATGATTTTTTAGCACAAAAATGGCCACCATTCGGCCATTTTCAATAGGTTGACATGATGTATAATGAATATTTAAAATTTGAACATAATCAGTCACAGCAAGTCAGAGATATGGCACTAAAACCACATTTATTAAAACAAAATGGCCACCAATCGGCCATTTTGAATCTTATCTGAAAACAAAATGATGTGCATCAAGGTCCTATAATGTCCAACGTATATACCAAATTTGAACAAAATCCATCTGTAAACAGCCGAGCAATGCTTGATTTTGATGATTTTTAGAACAAAAATGGCCGCCATTCGGCCATCTTGAATCAGATCGTGAAACAAATTGACGTGCATATGTGTAATATCATGTACGATGTATGTGTGAAGTTTTATCGTGATTGGTCCAGGCATTTCTAAGATACAGGTCCGGATGCACGCACGGATGGAAGCATGGACGGAAGCACCGACGCACGAATGGAAGCACGGAGGTCAAAATATAAGTTCCCGTTTACGGACTGATAAAGATTTCTATTATTATAATAGTAGTTGGTGTACACACTAGAGATACTTTTTACTATGGCTTACTTGATACTGTTATTTATAGAATATACATATACCATATTCAGAATTTACCGGGTAGAAGTAGCAACCGCAATCTCGAAATAGAAAAGGGTAGATACACACATCCAAAAACTCTAGTAAAAGACTATGTCAAAGATGTAATGACAATTTAATCGAAGATGAAGAACACTTTTTATTGACTTGTCAGAAATATGATACTGAACAAAAAATAATTCTTTAATAAAATCAAAAAAGATACCGGTAAAAGACAGTAATCAAAGAAAGCTTAGAAAGAACTCCCATGTGCTGAGAGTATTGGAGACACATTAAATATAATTCGAAATTACTTAGCTGAAAACTAATTATGCAAATCAGAAAATTAATATGACCAGATTTGAGTGTAAAACTAATGAGGTCTGCGCAATGTAACAGAAAATCTATGACTCCAAGTTTAATTGAAATGTGATTAGAACCAAAAAATTATGAATTATTATGCTTATTAGGGAATTAATATGAACAGATTTTTACCCCAAACTAATTAGGTTTGTACATTGTCCTAGAGCATCTTTATACTAAGTTTCATTGAAATGGAATAATTAGTACCGTGAAAACTCCAAAATTTCGACCCCTCTAAAAATTCGTTCGCCTATTTATTTGCCGGGTTTCGGTGTTTTATTTACCTCCAAATTTTCGATTACACTAAAAATTG